CCCCTCTCCAGGCTGCCGGGTTGAGTCCATCTGTCTGAACGTTGAAGCAGTGAACACGCACAGAGAACGGTCAGAGGTGAGTGGCGCTTTCGCTTCCCTCCCTCCCTTCTCCTAATGCTAGCTGGCAACAAGGACCTCTGGAGAGGTTGCGGAGGGGTGGGGGAGTCATTTAAGTGGACACTTGTGCTGCGAAGAGCAGGAACAGTAAGCAGCATGTTGCTCTGAATGTTGGAAAAGAGAGGTTGTCACATCCACTGCAAACACTTTCCCCAGATCCTTAACCAAAGCCCAGTGAGGCCAGTGAAAAGTTTCTCCTTGGGCCATAATGATATCTAGCTTTTTCGTAGAACTTTTCAAAGTGCTTTACAAGGCCGATGGTATCCTTACCCCTGAGGAACAGGGAGAGGCATTGACTTCTGGAAATCTCAATTCTGTCTTCACCGGTCTTGGAGATTTCTAGCCAGTGCTGGACCTCCTTTTTGGTCTTTGGATCACCCCTGAATGACTATAATGGAAACTGAAGCAGGCAGATTGCCGAGGCCAGCAGTGCAAGTGATAAAAGCAAGAGGAGAAGAAGGCAGGGAATGACCACAACAGTTTTGTAGTCGGGGATGGGTTCATTGGGTCAGAGGATGTTAGAGGAATGGGATTATCTCCCCATGGGGGAGACTAGTTTATCTAGTGTTGTGCTCTTGGGCCTGGTAAGCCAAACAGATTTAAGTCCAGTCATTGTTTTGGTGGGAGACTCCCTTTTCCCCACCCCTCGCAAAATATATATATGTAGGTGCTACAGGAAGTAGTGCTGGTTATTTAATAGACGGCATACTTCCTCTGGATTGGTACCAAAGGTGGCATGCTCAGGCTTGGTGGTTTGGGATCTTCTGGGTGAGACGTATACTTCAGTCTGCAGCTAGTTAATATATCCCATCCTACTCTTTAGTAGCGGCAATCTTAGCCCACCTGGGCTGGTGAGACTGTCTCTTTGAGTTGCCCACATTGGAGTGGCTTTTCCTTTCTTTTTCACTCTCCGGCTGACACCAGATACAGCGTTGTCAGATGTCAGCCTTCTAGCTGCAGCTGCACAGCCTGCAGCACATGAAGCCATTCCTCTCCGTGTAGCTTATGCCAAGTGCTTTTGAGTCCTCTGAAAGCTGCTGCAGGAAACTCCACAACTAGACTTGCAGTGAGAAGCTAAAGCTTAGGCCAGTGCATAGTGCTCGGGCTGGGCTCCTGGTAGCTGTCCTGCTATTTCACACCAGGGAGCACAAACCTCTCACTGTTGTGCTCCACTGGCTGCTGTAATTGCTGAATGTTTCTCTGTAGCTAGATGAGTTCATTCTGGTCCTCTTGGTTTTTATGCTCCCTGCTCGCTTAACTCCTTGGGTCAAAAGAAGAAACTTTGAAAAGGAGACTGAAGGGCTTTCTTCTTGACTCTGACCTACACTATATAGTCCTCATCCTTTCAAGCTGTCACCTTTTTTTGTGTGTGCGTGCATAAAATGAGAGGGGAAGTTAGCAGGGGGGAGGGAATCTCCCTTTGCAATACAGGGTAGTTTGTCTTTTTAATTCTCTTTAGACAGTCTCTCCTATTCTCTACGCTTGTTTTTGGTGACCAGAGATACAAATGCATCAACTGAGAGCTTTGTTTGTAGTTGCTGTTAATCGGGGGGAGGAGGAAGAGAGGGCAATTTTTAAAATGGCTTTTTTCGTAACTGTCGCCTTCTTCCTTTTTTGTCTTTGTCTCGCTTTAATTTAGGAAGCAAAGAAGGGACCTAACCCGCTCATGAGACGCAATAGTGTTACCCCTCTAGCAAGCCCAGAACCCACCAAAAAACCTCGCATCAACAGCTTTGAGGAGCATGTGGCTTCTTCTTCTGCCGCCCTGCCAGTCTGTATGCCCCAGGAGGTGCCCACCCAGCTGCCTGGACAAGTTAGTTGAATTCTTTTCCTTGGTGTTGGTGTTGTCGTCCTCCTTGTGTTGCTTCTAAATATAGGGACTGGTCTTTGTGACAAAAAAAAAGTAGCTCAGAGCAGCACAATAGTGTGCCATTCACTGCTGTCCCTTGCATTTAAAAGCATCCACTGAACAAGAGTTGTCAAACGCCTTGGGTTTCTTAGCCTTTGTATAGTTTAGAAAGCTCCAGGCTGAAGGGAGCAGCTGTGTTGGTCGACACTCATGTTCCTCTCCTGCCCTGTCTTGAATCTCAGTCACTGGACATCCACCGCTATGCAGAAGCCTAGGGCTAGCTTGTCCACCCCTGTCTAGATCATCCACTTAAACCCTCCCATCCTTCCTCCTCTGGGCTCCCGCTGTTCCTTTATATGGCAAGAATTTAACTGTAGGTATTGCAATAAAGAAATAATTCTTGACACCATCCTCTTGCTATAACTGCTTCCCTACTCTCCCTACGTTTAAAATAAAAACAGTCTAGCTAAGAGTAAGGCAATAACATGACCTGACTTGCCATTTCAGGTAGACCCCAGCTGAGGCTGATTTTTAAACTGGCTTTGACTATGATTATGTTGCCGCCTGGCAAGAATTAGCTGCTGGGCTGGGTTATTGAAAGCCCTGGGGCATTTCTGGAGTGGGCAGGAGAGCCTTGAAGCACTCCTCCAGGGACGTTTCTTGATTTCCCCTCCACCCCACAATAATAGAGACTCCTCCGAGTCGTCTCCTTCAACCCTGTGAAATTCTGGACGAGTGCCCTATACAGACCTTTTAAAACCACCCTCAATTATACATGAGCTTCTCCCTTGTGTCCCTGAGACGGGACAGGTGGTAGGCTTATACTAGCACCTAGCCATGCTTCCTTTCCCCTTTGGTCCATGTTAACTTCTTTGTGTCCTCTCTGTCTTATAGGTCAGCCCTAGAAGTAGCTTTAGGAAAGGCAGCACGCTCATGCTCTTCTGAACTGGCATGAGCGGCTGGCGGTCCTGTTTGGTGGCTGCTTCGTATTAACATTTAGTTCTCAACTAGTGCTAGGAGGGGTGCTAATGGCACTTCCAGCTTTGGGGGTCCTTTATGCTAGCGATCCAGCTGATTAGGATCCGAATTGTTCTTTGTTTCGTTGCCTCTTGCTGACTTCAGGTGACCCCCTCCCTCCTTGCACTGCATTACTGACGCTTCTCTTTCCATTCTCTTTCTCTCTCTTTCCCTACAGCCTTTACTAGGGAAGGCATGTCTGTAAGTATCTTCTCATGAGTTTCCCCCTCCCTCTTTCTGTACCTCTTTCAGTCCCACTGGCTATCTTGCTGTTGGGGGTTGTGACTGTAGACAGAAATGCAAACTTTAATTCTGTGGTTTCCGAGTTGTTCTTTTCATGGGGGGATTTTCTGTATCTTGACGCTGCCCCTGGTACTGTTTGTTCAGGTGCATGAACGTCTTTCATTAAACCTCCGTAGTCCGCCCTCTGTTGAGATGAGAAGCATGCCTTTTGCCTCCTAATCTCTCCCTCCCTCGCTTGCTCTTTTTCCAACTGTTTGGTCAATAGGATTGCAGCCTGCTAAGGTTTCTTATCTGTATTTGCACCTCCTACTGTAAACCTGGTTTGTCCTTCCTGTTGGCTGTGTGGCTTATTGTGGACAGTTTGGCATCTAACTAGATTGAGGAAAAGGGGGTATCTTTCTAGCTAGAAGGTGATGCAGATTATCTGCTTCAGCCATCCGTTGGGGGAGAATTGTCTGTTGGGAGCTAGACATCCTGGTTGAAGAGCTGTATGCTTAGCTCATGGAGATGCTTCCCAAAACTAGATTTTTGGCTCCTTTTTAGAGAGTGATGGGTGGAGGGGGCTGGACCAAAGAGGCTTCCCGGGAAGGCTTTGTAAAAAGTGACCTACTTCAGGTCACTCCAGCACTCCTACATCCTGTGTCCCAAGGAAGAGTGGTTGAAGTTGGACCGATTGCCATCAGGTCCTGGTATCCGTCCACTTGGGAACAAAGGTTTTTTGGGCACACTGCATCCAGGTTGGCTTGGCGTGAGTGGAATATTGTACAGCCAAGACCATGCTACTTGCAGGTGTTTATACCTGAATATGTAACCATTGTCCCTACGTCCTGCAGTAGTCCTGGCTGTGAGTGCTCTGAATTGTTGCTGGAAGATCCCTAGTTATTAAATTAAATAAGGACAAAGCCAGTTCAGTATGAAAGGGAAGCTTCCTTGTTTTACCAGTGTCAGATTTCTGGCTCAAAGAAACAGCAGGAGCATAAGCTGTGCTCCTGTTTCTTCTTTAAGACTCTTGGGTTTTCTAGATCTGGTGCAGAATAACAACAGTGAAGTAGTCAGCAGGCACCTAATTGGCACATGTTGGTTGTAGGTAACCAGGGAACAGGCACCACGTGATGGCACGTGGGGATCGGCTTGCTCTCCGAAGCACAGTCTGGATCAGGCCGATACGCAGCCCTGCCCTTATTTGTTTTGCGGGCTAAAGATGCCAGGATTTGCTGTTAGCTGAGGCAGCACGCAGCCGCTGCAGCATACTGATTGAACTTCACTTTAATTCTTCCCATCTCCTCCTCATCTTGTGACCGGTTTGGAAAGGCGGCCTGACTAACAGCTTCTGTATTTGGAGGGCAGGTGGGAATGGGTCAGATCAGTCAGAGGTCAGAAAAGTCGTGTCTGGGTCTTGTTTTTGGGGGTGCTTAGGTCTTGCATTAAAGGCTGAGCATAGGAGCCTTCCTCTTTTTTTTATGTTGGATCTGTTTGGCATGGCATGCATGGCTGCTGTTTGCTGTCCTCACCGTTTGTGGGGACTGGGTCTGTAAGAAAACGTATTCCTGGAACAGAGAGGCTGTGCGACGCTGGCCGAGCCTCACATAATTGTTCCCTCCAGGGCAGAGGGTTGCAGCCCTTTGGAGACAGCTGTGTCAGGTTGCCAGGCAAAAAAACTCGGAGGACCAGCTGGTTCAATAAAGTTCCTATGGCCTTCCCCAGCTCTTGAGACTTAAAATTTAGGGCAGCCCAGACTACTATGGTTTGGAGCTTGGCCGGGTGGTGGCATTTACATATAACTAGCTCAGATGCTTATCGCTGAAGGTAGATGAGACGGGTGATCCTGCCTTGAGCAGTGGATGGATATGAGATCCCCTCTGATTCTAAAATATCCCGGTCAAATACAAGGGGAAGCCTTGAGTGTCTAAGCTAATGTCACATGCATGTTCTTTGAGTCCTCTTAATGCCTGTGTTAGACTGCTATCTGCCTACCAATGTATAACATGGACGTCTCTTGATAGGCATCTGCTGAGGATGTCCGCTTGCATTGGAGCGTAAGAGTGTGTAATTATGGCTGCCCACCCTTTTTCGGACAGTGATAACTCACTCCCTTACTTCCACCCATGAGCTCTAGTGTTTAAGGCAGATCCTATGCTGATGCCATGTCGTATGTGCCATTGAAATCAATTGAACTCCTACTGTTCACAGCAGCTGAGGATCTAAAGAGTGGCCAACTTGCAAAGGCAAGAGTTTGAAGGGTCAGTGTCTGGAAACCACTACCCAACTGAGTGTGTTAGGAAGGTTTTGGTGATGGTTCAATGGACAACATAGCAAGGTCACCTGGAAAACAGGCAGGAAATAAAATAAAAATGGGATGGCCATGTTCAGCCAGCAACTCAGCAGTGCCCTTGGCTAGGAAAAGCCCAACACTACTTTGAAAGTGCTCATGCATCAGAGAGCATGGGGGAAAAACAGCTGTTGCTTTTTTTTTTGTGTGGTTTTTTACTCTAATGTTGCACATGAGATTGTGTGGGTTTCTTCTGCATTTACATGTTTTGAACCTAAATGCATGTTTTTGTAAGAAATCCAATTTAAAAAGTTTTCTCCCCTTCACTTTTCATGCTTAAAGACGAACTGTCTGTCACTTTCTCAAAGTTTTCTCTTTACTAACATTTCCAAGGTAAATGGCTTGATGCATGCTGTGGTTTTTTCCCCTGATCTGACCCTGTCTCATTAGATAAAAAGAGCATCTCAACTCCCCCCCAACCTGCTTTTTGTTTTTTTTGCATTTGAGCCCATGTTATAAACCTGATAAGAACTGTGATTTCTGTTAAGGGGTCCGTGTGGCCATATAGATAAAGGAAAAAAAAACCCCACCTTGTTGTCCTAAGAAACTCCCTAGTCTTTTCCTCCTTTTTAAACGTTCTTTGTGATGTTGTAAATGGGAAAAACCCTTTCAGTTGTGGTGAACCCTCAGCAACCCCCTGTCTAGTGGGTGCTGTTTTACCTTCTGATGCTCTCTCTGGTGTTCATGTGTTGTCACTGTTGTGTGTATGTAGTTGTTGAGACTTCCATTGTCCTTGTGATGTATTAGAAAGTGCCTCTTTATCAGACCCCAATGTTCACCGGATGTCTTTGCAATAGTGGTTCTGAAGGGATGAGTCTGTAGCTGGGTGGCAGATGGACCCCAGAACAATGTGGGACTCTATTGCTAATAAATGGGGTGTGGCGGGAGGGTTTGCAGAGTTGGTCCTTCTCAGTCTGTAGTCCACTGTGCCATGGGCTAAGGGAAGCAGAGCCCCCGTGCTCAGCTGAAACAGCTAGTGCATGCACATCTCCCTGTGCCATCTTGCAGGCTGGCACCATAGGGTGGGTGGGTGGGTTGAAATACAAGTTATTACTGAGCATCCACAAATGTGCTTGTAGCCCTGGAGAAACAAAGATCCAGGGCCTAAGTTTTCACCCTTATGGCCATTTATGTTTTTGCAAAGTGGGCTGATTTGGAAGTATTATACACCCAGCGTGCATATAGCGTCAGGCCCCCAGGCTCTGCCCTGAGATTTTCCCAATCTCAATAAAGACAGGACACCCATGAGGCCGTGGGGGGCAAGGGGGAGGCATTGGCAGCATACAACCAAACCCTCTGGGGTCATCTTGTTTTATATTAGCTGTTCCTTCAAGAGGCATTGCGTGACCTGGCTCCCTGCTGGGTGCTTTTGCACAGATCCCTTTATGTCAACTTTCTCTTGCCCAGTGTTTTTGCATGTTCAAAATGGTGCCATGTCTCTTGATATCCTTGGTTTTTGGACTCGCAGGACCAATCTAACCCCGATTCCACTTCTCTCTTTGCAGAACATGAATAACTCTCAGAAGCAATCATGATTTCTTCCGGGGCAGTGAAAGCCGACAAGAGAAACCAACTCCACTCCATCATCATTTCTGAAGCTTGCTTGTATCGTACTCCTCCATTTGACTCGAGGTCGACCTTTGGCTGCTTCTACCATAGCTGTTCATCTGCGAACTTGGACTTTCTTGAATGGGGGAGAGAGAATTTTGAAATGGGGGAAAAAAAGTGGATTCAACATCAAATCCATAGGCCATTTTGTGTTTCCTCTCTGGTGTTTGATCTACCGTAGCAAGCTGTACAGTGCTTCTAGTGCACAGAGTTTCTGAACTTTATTTTTGTTTGTAAGCGATGTGATCTCCTCATAGGGACGACCATCTGGTACCGACTCATCTTCGGGTTGCGAGGAGGTACACGGAAGTTGCAGGGGTAGCAGAGAAATATGGGGAGGACGTTTAAATATTCTCTTCCATCGTATCAGGCTCCTGAGAGACTGGCAGCGGTCAGGAACCTGTGTGCATCCAGTCTCATTGATGTATGTGACCTGACTGCAGAGAAGGCGGAGGCAGTGGTGTGAAATCTTTGGCTGTTGGAGCCGAATTTTGCAGCTGGTTTTAAGAAAAAAAAATGGAGGAAAAAGAATACACTATATGTATTACTATGAAAGGGATCTGCAGAGAATGTAAATCTGCTTCTGAAACCAAGTTAAGCTGCCTTTAGCATAAAACCCAGCTTCCCTGGTGCTAGCTTAGGAGGTGATTTTTGGCCACTGGCTGACTTGAAGTGGCACCTCAGCTTGTATTGTGGGAAGCCCTTGAATTTTTTTGTTGTTGCTGTTTTGAATTGAATTTGGGTTGTACAGGCGAGGGGTGGGGTGGGATGGGATGGGCACAGAGACTTATGTGATCGAAGAAGCGCGCGCTGTATTTATATTTCATTTGTAATCCATCTGCCTGCCCTCCCCTTCTTTAGGTGGATTTTGGCCTGCATGTCTGCAGGACCAGGGCAGCCTTTTCAAAGCTAGGTGTCCACACTAAGCTAGATGTGTTTTGCAGACATGTGAGTCTGAGGCGTACGGAGGCCTCTCCAAGTTCTCTTTGAGGGAGGAATGCATGTGTAGATCTAGAAGAAGTCACAATACAAGACACTCATTTCTTTTTTTTAAAAAACCTCTTGGTTTTTGCACTTTGTGTGGCAGGAGCATGATTTTATTTTTCTTCTTTTGGCAAATCCTGCCCTTGGCAGGTGAAGCCTAAATCCCCAGATCCTGTCTTGCATGTGCTGAAGAGCTAAGGCCACAAAGCAGTGGATAGGGACAGTATTAACAGGGTGGGGTGAGGTGTAAGCTACTAATTGTTTTTAATAGAGCAGCTGTAGGAACTGGTGGGTGCCCAAGTGTTGTGTGTGCAAATCCCTTCTTGACACACTGGTCAGGTTAAGGGGTTTAAGGCCAAGATGGACCACTACTATGTGACCGTGCAGAAGTTTGTGTGTGTGTCTGTGCGTGCATGTGTGTTTTTTTTTTTGTTTGTTTGTTTGTTTTTTTGGGGGGTTTTCCCCCCCCCCCACAGATGGGATTCCTTCCTCATGGCAGAAGCACCGGGGAGACTTTGTTTGAAGCAGTCCTAGCTTTCTCCCCTCCACCCAGGACGTACATTTATTTTATTTTGTTTTGCTCACCCCTAGGCTTCAGTGGGAGCCTACTGTGCGTCCTGTCTAGCATATAAGCACAGAGCCAAAAAAAAAATCAGAGTAGAGCTCAAGCAATACTTCTTTGTCTTAATGTGCAACTAAATCATATGCTGGAAGGATGCACTCTACAGTCCGTTAGCTAAGCGGGGGGATCCTCGGCTGGGATAATGGGGTTGGGGACCCCTCCAACTTTTGTCCCTGTCTCTCTCTTTCCTTTTGTTCTTGCTTCCAGTAACAGCTAGCGATACTTCTGCAGATGGGAGCAGAGAGGCTCTGTTGGAAAGTGGCTACTTTTTTTTTTGCTTAGGAAAGGCAAACCACAGTGCCTAATGCTTTAGCCTTGCACAGTGCAAATGCTTTGTATGTCTTCGAGCAGCACCAGCCAGAGGCCATCACTGGCTCTCTCCGCTCGTATCTGACCATCGATGATATTGGTGACCTGCCTGTGCGAGGTCGTTTGCATATACACATTCTTGTACAGACGAAGCGGAGAAGACACTTTTTTAAAATAGCCATGTTAAATGCAGTGTCCCCTTTCCGTGCGTGCGTGTGCATGTTTTAATGTCTGCCCTTTAAATTCACTGTGTTTTTTTTTTTTCAGTACTAATGATTTTGTGACTCTCTTAGGTTAATGG